GGAGTTTATTATATCATAAAAGGTATCAAATTTATTTTGGGTAGGAAATTCTTTCACAAGTTGGACAAAATTTTGGAGTTGCATTTTTAATTTGCAGTTGAATGTGTTATCTATGTTCGTATTAATTTTTGTTCTGTATGGTCTACTCTTTTTAGGGATTTGTAATTTTAAGTTCGCCCTGAGTATTCTATGGTTAGTATTGAAATTAATGCTTTTAATAACTCTGCAATTTTGGAATTGTTTACTTTGGTTCGTAAGGATGTAGTCAATTTCGTTCTTGTAGTTTCCACCAGGAGAAATCCATGTCCATCTATTATGTATGCGGTTCTTGTATAGAGTATTTAGTATTTTTAAGTTGTACTCGTAAGCGAGTTCGAGAAGTTTATTTCCATTTCGTGTTCGTTTCCCATAGCAATAGGGCCCTAGTACTAAGTTTTCACCTGGTCTTCTTTCTCCTATTTGTGCGTTGAAGTCTCCCATAATAATTATATTTTTGTGTGTGCTCTCCCTTATTGTGTTGTTAAGTTGTTCGTAGAATAAATCAATTTCTTTTTTGGTGGCTTGTTCTGTGGGCGAATAAACTTGTATTATTGACCAGCTTTGATTGTTAAATGTTAAAGTCAGTACCGCGATACGTTCGTTTATTCCTGTTATTTCATCTATATATTTTTTTATGTTTTTGTTTATTAGAAATCCTACTCCATACTTTCCTGGTGTTTCGCCTTTATGATATAAAATGAAATTTTCGTACTCCTCTATCTTGTCTCCCAGGCGACGCACTTCGCTGAGGCCGATAATGTCCCATTTGATATCTTTTAGTGCTAAAATAAGTTCTTTTAAGTTCTCCTCCGTTCGCAGCGACAGCGTATTAAGTGTGGCTATATACATGACAGAATTTCTCTCTACTTTAGGCAATGAAGATTGGTTGTGATTTTGTGGTAGAATTGGAAGGTTGTAGTCATCTTCCCCCACGGTGACTAGCCGGCTTGGGGTGCGTTTATTTATTTTTAGTAGGTTTATTTCATATTTATCTATGTTGATGTTGCTGTCAATGGCTTTTGTTGGTTTTTTGGTTCGTTGAGTGATGCTGGTTTAGATCTAGCTACATAGTTGTATAGATTATTAGTTTTATTTGCTTTTTTCGGTGCAGATGTATCTAGTCCTGTCGAAGATTTATTGGGAGAATCTATTTGGTCTCGTTTCCTTTTGATATAAGCTATTTTGCCGTTTTCTCTTTCTTGAATTAATTGGGGTATCAGTTTTCTTCTTTCTTCTAGAATTGCTTTTGAGAAGTCTTCTTTAATGTAAAACCCTGGAGTGAATTTACTTTTGCTTCGGAGTATTAAGTTTCTTTTCCAGGTGGAGGTGAAACTGACCAGTAATGGCCGTGAAGATTTTCCCTTTGGACCAATTCTATAAGCTTTATTTATTTCATGTGGTTGAATATTTACATTTGTCTCTTTTTCAATTATGTTTTTTATATATTCAATAAGTGAGCCACTTTGTTCCGATTCTTTTAATCCGAATAATATCAAGTTATTTTTCCTATTATCTCCTTCTATTAGTTCAATTTTCTTTTCTAAATAGGTAACTTTTGATTTTAAATATTTGTTTTCTTCT